TATCATTAAAGAAAGCAGAATTGGTAGCAATATAGATAGTACTATTAGTAGCACTAGTTAATTTAAAAATAGATTTATATACAGATAGTGCGGCAGTACTTGCAAGCCTAGGTAAAAATATTTAGTTAAATAATATTTGTAAATAGGTAAAAGAAAAAAACTTTAGTTTAGTTATGAAGATCCAAGATCTTATCAAGTCCAAACAACTAGTAGTCAACTTTATCAAAATAAAAGGTTATAGTGAAAATAGATGGAATGAAGAAGCAGATAAACTTGCAAAAGAAAATCTTAAACTAGAAGCTTTTTCCAATCTGTGCCTAAACTCAAACAAGTGCTTCGAAACTACTTTATACTGAAATAGGGTTTTTATTGAAGGACCAACAAATATCTTTCTCAAAAAACCTTTTAAACTTCAGACAGAAGCAAATCTCAGAGTAGCTAGTTCTATTAAAAATCTAGAGCTGAGTAAGGAAACACCTCTACACAACTAGCATAGATTGTAGAGAGATTTTAAAAGAAAATCAGATTTAAGATGTAGCTTCTCTAATATAAGCAAGAAAATAGCTTTATATATTAAATACCTTGTAGATAAAATGCCTATTATAGTGTCATTAACGAAAAGAAGACCTGATATCTATCAGTCAGAAATATGTATTATCTGCAACGAAAAGAAAGAGATATTAGAACATGTATTGATCTGCTCCTCTTTAGAACTGATATAAAAAAATATTAAAAATGTAGCATTTGAAATAGCATAATTCAATATTCCAGTATCTTGTTGAGACACAACCCAGTTCAAATTTCTCAAATCAATAGTATTAGAAAAAAAATCAGAAGCCAAATTAATTTGAAGAGCTAGTATAATCAGAGGTCTTTTTCTATCACAACTAGAATTGTTAATTTATTCTGAACTAGTAGTACAGAAAATTACAGACAATTTCATAGAATCATTTAAAAATATTATAGAGAATGGATTCTGAGAATTCATATAGCAAAAACACAATAGGAAAGTAAACAAGTGGGAAAAAAAAAAAGATATTTCAGCAAAAATAAAAAGAAGCAAATGAACAGACCCAAATAGGATAGCACAAGAAATAGAGCTTAATGGAAAAATCCAAGCTCAAGAAGATCATTCTAATCAGTCAAGAAGAAGCTCTTATTTAACCAAAAAACCAACTGAGGATTCTGTTTTAAGAAGAAAAAAGAAGAAGTTGAACTCATTTAGATTATGGGAATGTGCAGTAGCAAATCTAATCATGAATGGCTCAAAGCTATTTTGGTCAAGTTCTTGACAGAGCTGACATATCTTCTAGTTACAATTTAACTAGTATGACAGATCATATCTGGGCATCTATAATATCGAGCTTGCAATTGAAGAGTTAAATTTATATAAAATAGAAATTTTAATGTATTAACTTATTAATATAGTACTGATGAGACTGTCTAAGAATAAAAAAAAAAAATATAATAATAGAATATTTCTTATACTATGCTATACTAGTATTACTTTGTGTTACAACCTACTTTGTAACAATATGAGTAAAGCCAGCATAGTGAAGATAATCAAAAAAGAAATAAAGGAGCTTAAACAAGTTATTCTTTAAAAAAAGATAACAAACAGTCAAATAATATATATTAACAATAGAGTATTAATACTTTGAATTAAATATAGAGCATAGGCAACAATGCTAAGCAGAAACATATATGAGAAAATTCATAGTAACTTTTTTAAAATAGGTAAAACAAATATGAACTAGTAACCAACACTTCTAATAGAGTAATAAATTATAAAAATATAATGAGAGTATAGCTTTTATAGAAATCAATTATAGCATATTATGTAAGCAACTTTATACTAAGAATTAATAATATAAGCAAACTAGACAGATAACATGAATAAGAATTAAACAAGTCCAACTAAATAATAAAAGTACAAAGAGCATTTTAGATCTAAATAAGAAACAAATAAGCAGCTTAAATATTTCAAACAACTTAAATACATATATAATTAAAGTATATAAGATAAGCTTTAAATTTAAAAGTAGTATTTTAGAAATAGAAATGCTTATTACAAGAAAAGAGACAGAGATTTATAACTTTCTAGATTTTAAATATAAACAGGCTTTTTGTAAAAAGAACAAGCTCAACCTTTCTATATTAGAACAGATAATTGAAAAGAGTAGAACATGCTTGCTAAACTAGACTTAAATCAAAAAAATATAGAAAATGTAAAGTTCAGAAAAAAAACTAATTTGGTTTAAAAATCTAGAAAATAACAGTATTTAATATATAGAGTCTAGAACAATTAAAAATTCTTTTGATATTAGAAAACCTAATCTTTTTATAATTACAGCAAAACTAGAATATATAACAAAAGACAACAAAAAAAGAAAATAAATTGTGTTTATAAATAAGGCAAGAGTAGTAAATTTACAGAATAAGAAAGAAAAAAAAAACAAAAGAAGCTTTTAGTATAAATCACTAAGTTAAAAACAAAAATTATCTAAAAGGTAGTTCTATAATTCAAAGATATACAAGGTGTGATTTTGACTAAGAACAAAACAACAAAAAGTATACTTTTAGCAAAAAATTTAAAAATACAAAACAGGCCTTACCAAAAACTGTTTGCAAATAGTAAAAAAGAAAAACAATATATAATGAAGTTAAATAATTTACTAACTCAGATAAAAACTAAAGAGATAAACAATTATAAAAAGATTGTTTAAAAAGTGATAGTAGAGATATTTTAAGATAAATTCATTAATAAATATATTAAATTATAAAAAAATCTCTATTCCTGATCTTCAACTTATTAAATATCTACAAAGTTAACAATTTAAAAATATTTATTATTTTTTTTTCCCCAACATATCAAACTTCACTTTTTAATACTCTAATACTCAAAGTAGAATTGACCAAATCTGGACAAATCTCTTAATCACTAATATTGAATATACAGATATAATTCCAAATAACCAAATCAAATCTAATCATCATATTATCACCCTTGAATTATCAATTATTCTAAACAAATCCAAGCCTTAAAAACAAAAAAAACATAACCTTTTCTTATAGAAAAACTGCTTTAAACAAGTCTTTGAAGACTATACAATACAAAAAACTTGAAACTTTATATTTTCTTAAAAATCAATTTAATATCCAATCAAAACCAACTTAACTTATACTAGAACAAAATCCATAAAGACCTAATTAAAGCAGCTATAAAACATATTCCTTTTAAGAAAATTAATATAATTAAAGAAATTCAGAACAAACCTGCTATAAAAAAATCTACTTTTTTATAGATATAAACAAATACAATATCTTAAAAACCACTTTTCCTCATCTAATTTCAATTCTCTCCTTCACAATAATCAATTACAACATTCTGAAAACTTACTTCTATCCAACAACCTCACAATTTTACAAATCAAAAATGAATTTCTACTTATTAAATCAGCACTTAATCATGAATATCAACAAGATTTCTATAATGAAATCAAACAAAAAATAGAAAACCTTCTTTGAAACTCCAAAAATCTTTTACAAAAAAGTATTGGAAAAATATAACAACATTAATATCAACTGACTTCTTATAGATAACTCTTTCTTAACTGATTATAACAAAATTCTTAATACAATTCACAATCACTTCTCTAACTACTTTGATGATAAATCCCTAAGCACTATCTTACTCTCTTTAGAATACTATCACTTATACCAACCTCATCCTAAATTAGAATCTTTTTATCAAAATCTACTTAATAATATCTTAACCTAGAAATGGTTTGAAATTATCTCAAATTTACCCAATCAAAAAGCAGCAGGTCCTTCTGAGATCTGCTATAAATATATTAAACATGCTAGCCCAAAAGCACAAAAAATCATTTGATCCTTTCTAACAAATACTTTCAACTTCAAAAAGTCACTACTGATTAAAAATCCTCTAATATCTTTCTTATTTTCAAAAAGTCCAACTGGGGCTTTACTCTTAACCAAGTCTATTCTATTTTTATTATTGAATTCTAAAAAAGATTTTTATAAAAATTTTTACTAAATGTCTAGATAAAATTATCTCATTAAATAATATTCTCTCTAATCTTAATTATGTAGCTTCCAAAAACTTCTCAATACATACTCCTATTCAAATTTTACATAATACAATAGAACATTATATTTCTCACAATAAAGAAGCTTGGATATTGTTTCAAGACATGTCTAAAGCTTTTGACAAAATTAATATTAGATATCTACAAGAGGCTTGCCAAAAAATCAGCATTCCTGTTGCTAGTATAAATCTAATAACAGAACTTTATATCTCTTGTCTTGCAAGAGTAATTATAGCCTATAGTTTAACATTACCAGTTTATATAAAATCAGGCATAGAACGAGGAAAAACCTACTCTTCTCTTCTTTGAAAAATTTATTATAACCCAATTCTTACCTTTATCTTACAAAAATTCAAAGATCACTTTCTCAAAATCTTTTCTATTTTACTATTCGACTTGATCTTTAACTCAAATTCTACTACTATAACCATCCTACTATTAGTTTATATAGATAATACTGTCTAGCACTCAGATTATTCTGAAACTTTGCAAAAAATTATTAATAAATCTTCTTCTTTGTACAAAATCAACAATATTGAAATCAATCTATCCAAATCTGACCTACTTTATATCTTTTTCAAAAACTTCAAAATACCAAACTATTTATTCTACTTTGATAATCAAATAATCAATTCTAGAAAATCTACTAATATAATTAGATATCTTGGTATCTACTACAATAGTAGAGACTCTGCTAAACCAATACTAGATATGATTTACAATAAAATAGAAAACTTCTTATTACTTATTAGATTTAAAAAACTTCTCTTATCCCAAATTTCATCTCTATTTAACCTCATACTCCAACTCTTACTAAAATATTTACTACAAATTATATCTATTCAAAAAAATATACAAACTAAACTTTTTCATTTATTTTTTATACAAGCAAAAAAAATGTACTTACTTGCTAAAAACACTAATAACACCTCACTACTAAACCCTCTTATCTTTAATTTACTAATATTTAACAACATTATTCAAAAAGTTAGTGTTTCTAATATCAAATGTACTTTTAATTTTTCTTCACTTCTTAATAAAATTGGTACTTCTCGAATTAAATCCTGGCTTTTAAAAGTTTGGTGCCCTAGTCTTATCAAGAAAATACTTCTTATATATTATAAAAAAACTTACAACTTTACTCTTTTCTTCCATATTATACAACTAGCCAAAAATAATATAACAATCTTCTCGCTCCCTCAAACTACAATCTATCCTCCTTTTATTCCAAAATATACACATTTAATATATAATATACTTCCTAAAACTCCTAACAACCTTATAGTTAATAGTCTTAAAAATATCAAAATTTTATTTATAGAACAAATCACAACTGCAAACAATAAATTTCTTCTACCTTGAAACAATATTTATCATCGAAC